TTTTTTTGCACCCTCAGATTCCAGATTTTCAAATAGTTGTATCTCAACCAAATATTGTCCTGTCCTAACAAACCATACATCAATGGACAGCTTATTTATTCAGCTTTCAGATGGCGTATACATCTCAATTTCGAAAAATTGACCCTTATGACTGGTTTTGTGGTCCAGGGTCACATATGACAAACCCTATTTAACTGGCAACATTCCTCCAATTTTCACTGAGATTGTAAGATGGCGAGCCCTTGACAGGAGGCGGTCCAGACGAAGGCCAAAGAGATGACCTTTTCAGCCATTGCAAGAGAAGTTGGTCATTCCAAATCTGTGATTTCTCGAATATGGCAGCTTTACAATGACACTAATTCATTCAAGTCCTCCAAAAAGGCTGGTCGTCCATGTAAGACAAATGCACGAGAAGACAGGATGATGCAGAGACTCTCAATCGGGAATTGGTTCAACACTGCAGCTGAAAATGCTCACAGTTCAGCACTGAACAGGGTATGGATCTTTCTCGTCACGTTTAAAAGAAGTTGGACTGAAAACGTACTCTGCAGTGACCAAGCCTCTCATCAGCAGAAAGAATATAAAGGCTACACTAACCTTTGCTGAGGAGCATATTGTGTGGAGAGAGGAGAACTGGTCCAAAGTTCACTTTAGTCATGAGAGCAAGTTTAATTTATTTGGGTCTGATGGGAAACATTGTGTTCGGCGTCAAACTGAGGAAAGACTGAAGCCCGAGTGCGTAAATAAGTCAGTAAAAGGTGCAGGAGGAAGTGTCATGGTTTGGGGGATGTCTTCTGCAGCAGGAGTTGGGCCTCTTATACAGCTACATGGCAGGTGAATGCAAATATTTATCAGAACCTCCTTCAGCAACAAGCATATCCCAATCAGCCTGCAATTTTCATGCAAGACAATGTCCCCATCACACTGCAAAACAGGTAAAGCAGTTCCTTGAAGCTAAGAATATTGAAATAATAAAATGGCCGGCTAAGAGATCTAAACCAAACTGAAAATCTCTGGAAAATCTTTGGCAACAAAGTTATGGCTAAGAAACCCACTACAGTTACTAAACTATGGAAGAGGGTACCAGCACAGTCTGAGAAACTAGTGATATCCTGCAGCCGCAGGTGTGCTGAAGTCATTCAAAGCAAAGGCCTCTACAATTCCTACAAATTTTTTACAGCTGTAACCCTCCAAACTTTTAGTTGTAATCTTCTTTCGTGCTACAGTGGTTACTGTTCTCTAATTCTGATCACTGTGTTTTCCACAAAAGAAAGGTTTTTGTCGAAATGCCTTGGTTATTTTGTCAAACATGTTAGTAGAACAGTGGTATACCTACAGCTAATATTCCTTCAAATTTTGAGCGATGAAGATGAACAATATTTCAGAAAAAAATAAATATTTATAGACTGTGCTCTAATTTTGATCTCCGCTGTAAATCTACTTTGTGAAATATAAAGTTACAATTTTGAGAAATTAATTTACAAAATATAATGTTAATGTATAATGTTAAGATAATGTTGCAATTATGAGATACTGTATATAGCTGGATTGTAAAACATAAAGCCTCTTTGTGAGAAATAAAGTCGCAATAACCAGAAACAAAGTCACAATCGACTGAGGGAACGTCTCCAGGTTACGAATGTAACCATGGTTCCCCGAGGGAACGAGACGCTGCGTCTCAGTGCCATACTTCCGGCATCCCTGTGAGCGCTTGCTTCATTCCTAGAAGCTGGCGCTAGTTCCACCGCACGTGCTTTTATAGATTCCTGGTCGCAACGTCACCTATTTTTTACAGCTGTAACCCTCCAAACTTTTAGTTGTAATCTTCTTTCGTGCTACAGTGGTTACTGTTCTCTAATTCTGATCACTGTGTTTTCCACAAAAGAAAGGTTTTTGTCGAAATGCCTTGGTTATTTTGTCAAACATGTTAGTAGAACAGTGGTATACCTACAGCTAATATTCCTTCAAATTTTGAGCGATGAAGATGAACAATATTTCAGAAAAAAATAAATATTTATAGACTGTGCTCTAATTTTGATCTCCGCTGTAAATCTACTTTGTGAAATATAAAGTTACAATTTTGAGAAATTAATTTACAAAATATAATGTTAATGTATAATGTTAAGATAATGTTGCAATTATGAGATACTGTATATAGCTGGATTGTAAAACATAAAGCCTCTTTGTGAGAAATAAAGTCGCAATAACCAGAAACAAAGTCACAATCGACTGATGTTGTGACTTTTTAAGTATCTGACTTCATATCTAGTCACAATAAGGAAATTCACAACTTCTTTTGTGGAGACAGACTTCCATATTTGTATCAGTATTTTTGGTTATTTCACTGGAATGTTTGGAAAAGATG